CATCGCCATGGAGCAAAGATCCCTCCGGCGGCACCTCCCCCCCATTTCCCAGAGTTGCCAACCTTTTTATGGTGCTGCTGGCAGCTTTGCAGGGCTGGAGGAGGTGGGCAGCGGCTGGAGGGCGGCTCCTCCGGTGGGGAAGAATTGGAGGCTCTGGGCATGGTGCTGCTTCAGTGAGGCAGGCGAGGGTGGTGAGCTGATGCCAGAAGGTGCCGCATCCAGCCTTCCTGGCACCCTCCAGAACTTGGCGCCCTGGTGCCCCACGCCACTTGCCTCTGTGGGCAAGACAGAGAAGAGAAGAGAAAGAGAAGCATCCCTCCATTTTAATTATGGCTGGCCAGTTAATAGATACCTTTCCCGCTGGTGCAGACAGCTGACATGCACAGCTCGTAGGATAACTGCACCTACTGTTCACGAAAGAGAAGAAGATTATTATGATGATATAGGAGTAAGAAAGGATGGAGAGACTAGAGAGCCAGTTGAGTGCTGGGTAATTGAATGTCAAGGTTGACATGTCTAGTATTTATTTTGGTAGCTGCACAGCTGTAATGCTAGCACTGGCTCTTTGTGACTCATAGAGGCTAGAGGCGAAAGTAAGGGAAAAGAGAAGTTAATAGTTACATATTTTTATTGAGGCATTCAAGAAACTACTTAAAAGAAAAAGAACAGAAGCCAGGAAAGGAGTCCAGGGTCAGAGGCAACATGCCTCTATCTACCAATAACAGTGGTACCTCAGGTTAAGTACTTAATTCGTTCTGGAGGTCTGTACTTAACCTGAAACTGTTCTTAACCTGAAGCACCACTCTAGCTAATGGGGCCTCCCGCTGCCGCCGTGCGATTTCTGTTCTCATCCTGAAGCAAAGTTCTTAACCCAAGGTACTATTTCTGGGTTAGCAGAGTCTGTAACCTGAGGCATATGTAACCTGAAGCGTATGTATACAGGTACCACTGTATACCAGTTACTGGGAATAACAAGTAGAGAGATGTGTTGCTGTGCTCACATCCTGCTTTGCAGCTTCCCATAAACTTTTGGCCACTGTGAGAACAGGAAGTTGGGTTGAAAGGGAACCCAGCAGGGCTCTTCATAAGCAGTGAGATGATGGTGATGATGATGATGATGATGATGATGATGATGATTTTATTTATATCCCACTCTCCACGGCCAGAACTGGGCTTAGAGCGGCTAACATCAAAATATATAATACATTAAGACATAAAATTCAGCAATCGGCTGAAATACAGCTTAAAATTGGTTTAAAATCAAAATAAGATCAGATGGCTACCTGCAAATTGTAACTATAACTATAGGGGTTAGGAACCTTAAGTACTCACCAGGCTCAGCTATTTGTATGAGCCGGTAAGCAGAGTTAGAGAAGCCACTTATATGCAGGGTCTTGTAAAAGGAGAGGGGTCAGACTGAGCCCCAACCAAAGGCCTAGTGGAACAGCTCCATCTTGCAGGCCCTGTAGAAAGATGTCAAGTCCTGCAGGGACTCTCACTTGCGAAAGAGTTTTCCATCAGACTGGAGCCAGGGCTGAAAAGGCCAGCCTTAAGACCCGGGACCTCCAAGATGTTGAAAAAGGGGGTGCTGCAAGAGCGCTGCAGCCCCCAAAATACTCTTGGAAGGAGATCCAAGAGGCAGGGTCCCGGCACGGCCGTTTTGCATTTCCCCCGGCCTCCAAGCAACCTCTTTTTAGAGGCGACGAAAGCAGCGGGGTAGAAAAGCGGGCAGCGGGAAGCCATTGCTATCCCTCAAGAGCGAAGCTCTGAGCTTGCGCGCAGAAGCGATCGGCTCTCAAACAACAATAAATCGAATTTGGAAACTCCAAGAAATAAATAATTGGATCAGAGCTAATTCGAAGGGGGTAAGGTGGAAAAAAGGAGGTCAGCCTTGCCTGAAATTCTAGCTACACACAAGACCGTCTGAAAAAAGTGATACCACCGACGGAAGAGGAACAGGCACTTGGGGCCGTTGGAGGAGAACCAAAATAACTACTGCAACTACTAACCTGGAACTGTCGTGGTTTGAATTCCCCTCAGAAAAGGAAATCAGTATTTCATTTATTGAAAAAGGAACAATTAGACCTAATTTGTTTACAAGAAACACATATAACAAGATTACACAGGAAATTGTTGATAAATAAAAGACTTGGTCAGGAGTTTATTTCATCGGACAAGGTTAAAAAAAGAGGGGTTGTGATTTATGCAAAGGACAGATTATCACCGAAATTTATTTTTACAGATGACCAAGGTAGATTTGTGGCAATTGAAATTCAAACACAAGGAGAAAAATTTTTGATAGTAGGAATTTACGCACCAAATGATGGGAAATCTGAATTTTTTAAGAAGTTGCATGAGACCCTGATGGACCATATGGATTACAACATGATTCTGATGGGCGATATGAATGGAGTGGTATCTACATATATGGACAAGGCACAAAGACAGGTAGTCACTAAGGATGGTAGACTACCGAAAACTTTTTTTGACATGACAGACAACTTGGACTTAGTGGATATTTGGAGAATAAGAAACCCCATGGCTAAAGAGGGAACTTTCTTTTCTGAAGCCAAAATGACATGGACAAGAAGTGACCAAATTTGGATAACTAGAGGAATGGCACCAAAGACAAGAAAGGTGGAAATCTGCCCGAAAATTTGCTCCGACAACAATGCTGTTAAGATGGAAATGAGACTAACACCAACTGGCTCCTTCAGATGGAAGATGAATGACACCTTATTTAGAGATGAAGAACTATTAAAGAAGGCCCAAAAAACATTGAGAGACTATTTTGAGATAAATTTGAGCACTAACGTGGAGAAGAGTAATCTGGGACGCAAGTAAGGCGGTTATGAGAGGGTTCTTAATACAACAGAATGCAGTAAAGAAAAGAATTCAAAATGAGAAGAAGGACAAGATAATGGACAAAATAAAGGAAAGTGAAAAAAGATTGAGAGTAAATCCAAAATCTCAAGAGATTTTGAGAGAGTTAAAGTTATATCAAGTACAATATATGAAAATGATGAATCAGGAAATAGAATGGAAAATTAAACAAATGATACAAAAGACATTTGAGTCGGCCAATAAATGTGGTAAACTGTTGGCATGGCAAATGAAAAAGAGACAAAAACTGAACACAATTACGAACTTAGAAGTGGAAGGAAGAAATATACAGAACCCTGCAGAAATTAGAAATTGTTTCCAGAGATACTTTAAACGATTATATACTCAAGGGCCATTGAAAGAAACAGACTTAGACCAATTTTTGAAAACAAATGGATTACAAAAATATCTCAAGAAAATAAACTAATTTTGAACTATAAAATAACGGATCAGGAAATAGAAGGTGCCATTCAAAATATGCAATTGGGCAAATCTCCAGGACCAGATGGCTTGACTTCTAGATACTACAGATCTTTGAAAGAATGGTTAATTCAACCTTTGAAAGAGGTCTGCAATGAAATAATGGAGGGGAAAAGAGCACCAGAGTCGTGGAAAGAAGCATATATTACACTTGTACCGAAAACAGAGACTGAAAAGACACAGCTTAAGAACTACCGCCCTATATCATTACTTAATGTGGATTACAAAATTTTTGCAGATATTTTGGCTAAGAGATTTAAAAAAGTGTTAATGGAAGAGATTCACAAAGACCAAGCGGGCTTTCTCCCAGGAAGACATTTGTCTGACAATTTGAGGAATATAATTGATATTTTGGAAAAACTAGAAGTGAACATAAACACTAAGGCAGTTTTGATATTTGTAGACGCGGAGAAAGCCTTTGACAACATTTCTTGGAATTTTATGAAGAAGAATCTACAGGGTATGGGGGTAGGCCAAGGTTTTGAAAACGGTATAAGTGCAATTTATTCAGAACAAAAGGCTAAACTAATTGTAAATAATGTTATGACGGAAGAACTTAAAATTGAAAAAGGGACACGACAAGGTTGCCCAATTTCCCCACTTCTTTTTATTTCGGTCCTGGAGGTTTTGCTGAATATGATTAGAAGGGACCAGTTGGTTAAAGGTATACAGGTCGGAACTAAACAGTACAAATTGAGAGCATTTGCAGATGACTTAGTATTGACGTTACAGGAGCCAGAATCTAGTACTAAAAGGGTTTTAGAACTGATTCAAGAATTTGGTCAAGTGGCAGGATTTAAATTGAACAAGTCAAAAACTAAGGTTTTAGAGAAAAATTTAACACCGACTGAAAGAGAGAGGTTTCAGAATGAGACAAGTTTAACAGTGGTTAAGAAAGTTAAATACCTGGGGATTAACATGACAGCAAAGAAGGGGAATTTATTTAAAGACAACTATGAAAAATGTTGGGCTGAAGTGAAAAAAGATTTAGAAATTTGGTCAAATTTGAAGCTTTCACTGCTGGGCCGTATTGCTGCGATAAAAATGAATGTATTGCCTAGAATGTTGTTTTTGTTTCAAACTTTGCAAATTGTGGACAAAATGGATTGTTTCAAGAGGCGGCAGAAAGATATATCTAGATTCGTCTGGCAGGGCAAGAAGCCCAGAATAAAATTTAAAATACTAACAGATGCAAAGGAAAGAGGTGAATTTGCCCTGCCAGACCTCAAACTTTACTATGAATCAGCAGCCTTTTGCTGGTTGAAAGAATGGCTACTTCTTGAAAACACTGACATTTTGGACTTAGAAGGTTTTAACAATGTATTTGGATGGCATGCATATCTATGGTATGATAAGGTCAAAGCACATAAAGCATTTAAGAACCACATTGTCAGGAAAGCGCTGTTTAATGTTTGGATAAGATATAAGGATTTGTTAGAAAATAAAACCCCAAGGTGGCTGTCACCAATGGAAGCGAAAGCCTTGAAAAAGCTCAATATGGAGGTCAAGTGGCCGAAATATTGGGAAATTTTGGAACAAGATGGAGATAGACTGAAATTGCAGAGTTTTGAAAAACTAAAAAACAAAGTGCGAGACTGGCTTCATTATTTTCAGATAATGGAGGCATTTAAATTGGACAAGAAAATTGGCTTCCAGGTGGAAAAATCAAAATTAGAAACTGAACTGTTAGAACCCAGAACTAAGAATTTATCAAGAATGTATAACTTGCTGCTGAAATGGAACACTCAGGATGAAACGGTAAAATCGGCTATGATTAAATGGGCACAAGACGTCGGACATAACATTATGTTCGCTGACTGGGAACAGTTGTGGACCACTGGTATGAAATTTACGGCATGTAATGCCTTAAGAGAGAATATTATGAAAATGATATACAGGTGGTACATAACCCCGGTCAAGCTTGCAAAAATCTATCATTTGCCCGATAACAAATGTTGGAAATGTAAAGAAACTGAAGGTACATTCTTTCACCTTTGGTGGACGTGCCCAAAGATTAAGGCTTTCTGGGAAATGATATATAATGAATTAAAAAAGGTATTCAAATATACCTTCCCTAAGAAACCAGAGGCCTTTCTCCTGGGCATGGTCGGCCAAATGGTGATTAAAAAGGATAGAATTTTCTTTATGTATGCAACAACAGCAGCAAGAATACTCATTGCAAAGTATTGGAAGACACAAGAACTTCCCACGCTGGAGGAATGGCAGATGAAACTGATGGACTATATGGAACTGGCGGAAATGACTGGCAGAATCCGTGACCAGGGAGAAGAGTCGGTGGAGGAAGATTGGAAGAAATTCAAAGATTATCTACAGAAACACTGCAAAATTAAAGAATGTTAGAGTGATGTTGGATTAAAAATAAGTGGTTTCCGGCTGTACAGGATTCAAAGTTTATAGATAGATTAAGATTAAAGATTAGGATTAAAGAAATTGAAGGAAATGGAAATTTGATATTTAAGAGGTAAAATTTTAATGCTATATTATATTAAGATTAAAGATTGGGATTAAAAAAGTGGAAAAGAAATTGCTGGACAAACAATTTGGACTGGAATACAAAAGAGGGAGGTATGAGGAGGTCCAGAAAATAAGTAAATTTAAAAACGGAAATGAAAAGGTGATATTGTTTTTAATTGTTCTGTCTTTTTTTATTTTTGTTTTTTGTTTTTTGTTTTCTGTGTTTTTTATTCTTCTTTGGATTATGTATTGTGTATTTGTGTACTTCTTTTCTATGTTTTTTTGTTTAATCTTTTACTGAAATCTTAATAAAAATCATTTTAAAAAAAAAAGAAATTCTAGCTACACACAAGAACAATTCACAGATCGGAACAAAACCGTAAGTCAATTCAAATGGATTAATTTGGCGAACTTATTTGATTGCTTTTTAAAGGATTTTTAAAGGACTATAACCATAGCAAAGGGGGGAGAAATGTTAGAAAGCAAAAAACTAACAGTCTGTCAGTGAATCTGCTGTGGACGTTGTTACTTACTTTCATTTTCAAAAAGAACTGCGCAATAGACAATCACGGACTTTAAAACCTTTGATATACCTCTCTTGGCTTATGGGCGAGGGACGGAAAGAATAAGAAGGAAAATATTGCTTTTTATATTTTTCTTGGTTTTTGTTTAAAAGGGGTTTATGGGAGTCAGAAGGTGTTTTTCTCCCTTTGAAGTCCATACCCCCGCTCTCTTTTTTGTATTAGAACTGGATATAAAGGATTAAACATCGCCATTTTGTTGCCCAGACGAAGGGGATCTCTTCCCTTCTTTTTGAGGGAAAATAATTGGACTCTTCTCTTCCTGATGGACTAAGAGGCTTAATCTTGTTTTTTTTTCCCCGTTGCTTATCCTTATTTTTGGTTTACATCTGGGCCGGACTTGTGCTTACTGTTTGATCTGCGGTGGCGTTTTTTAAGTTTGACGGATCTGGGAGCAACTTTATTTTCATTTTCGTTTTTGGAATTTGCAACTGGAGGATGGGAAATAGCCATGTAAGTGGCAAGAAGGTGTTGAACTGATAAATCGATTTGTGGATTTAGCCATATAAGTGGCAAGAAGAGTGTCCCTAGTTTTGTTCAGCTGGTGGATTTATATATATATATATTGGTTTTAAAGAACTGATACCTTCACCATAATTTTTGGATTTAGGAGTAATTTTTGGACGGTTCGTTTGACAGAATAGAAGTCTGCAGGTGTTTCTTCCCCTGAGTTGGCCCCTTGCCCATTGATTTTGCTTTCTTTTTTTCCTTCGGATTTAGAGATTTAAATAATTTGTGAAGACTGGGATTTTATTGTGATAATTTTTAATTTGTTATTGGAGATGAGAAACAACTAAATAAGGGGAAAGGAAAGTACTGGAATAATATACCAAATTTATTTTTCGAGACTGTTGGATTAGCTTTATAAGAGGCAAGAAGTTAACAGGGAATTATAAGAATTTCAAGAATGATGCATTCGCAGAAAAAGAGTGAGGGTGCAACACCAGGGGAAAGGAAGAGTTTAAGACAAGAACCAGAATGGAAGGGAGACATAGTAAAGATGTTTACAGAATTAAAGACAGAAATTTTAAAAAGTGAAAAAATATTGAGACAGATTAGGAAAAATTAGGACAGATGGAGACTAAACTAGAGCAGGTGGATAAAAAAAATAGATGTAACAGTTAATGAATTAAAAGGACAAATGAAAGAAATATCTAAGAGAACACAGAATCTGGAGGAAGGGATGAAAAGAACAAAATTAGAAATGAAGGAAGTGAGAAGGGAAGAGGAAAAAATTAGGGCGGATGTATCAGAAGTTAACAAGACGCAGAAGGAGTTAAGGGACGCGGTTGCAATGAACGAACTATGACAAAGAGAGACAAATTTGAGACTGAGATCTGTGCCTGAGGTTCAAGGAGAAATGATTAAAGAAAAACTGACGGCAGAGATTGCCCAATTGGTTACATATGCAAGTAGAAGATGTTGCTAAAACAATACAAAATGCTTTTCGAATTAAAACAAGGACAACCAGGGCGAAGAAATTCCCAGGAGATTGTTTGATTATTTTTAAAGATAAAGAGATGAGGAATCAAATTTTACAGAAGAATAGAGAGAAAAGATAAATTTGATGGGAATTATATAATTATTTTTAAAGATGTATCACTTCGTCTTTTGAAAAAAACGAGACCAGTATAAACATGTGGTACAAGTTTTGAAGAAAAATCAAATTGAATTCAAATGGGAATTCCCAGAAGGGGTAGCATTTACTTATAAAGGGAAAAGGCACAGACTCATAAAACCAGATGAAGTGGACAATTTTTTCAGAAGATATAAGGAGCTGACCAAAGAAGAAGATGAAGCAGAGATAGCGGGAGCAGGAGCCGGTGGAGGAGACTCTTGGAGGAGGAAGAGAGGAGAGTTTAAAACGATAAAAGAGGGAAAAGAGGAGAACAGGAGGAAGAAGAAGATGTTGAAGAAGAAGAAGAAGAAGAAGAGAAATAGGAAATTATATTTAAAATTTAATTGGAAGACATCATGGCGTTGAAATTATGGACATGGAATGTTAATGGAATGAACGATAAAAGAAAACAAAATAAAATTGAACAATATTTAAAACAAAAGAATCTGGATATCATATGTTTACAAGAGACTCGTGAAAAAGACTCACAGAAAAATTTTAATTAACAAAAAATTAGGAAATGAATTTATTTCATCTGATAAAAATAAAAAGAGAGGGGTGGTATTGTATATAAAGAATAAATTGGAGGTACAACAATTATTTAAGGATGAAGAAGGGAGAATCATAGCGGTTCAAGTCAATTGGCAAGGTGAAAGACTGATAATTATTGGAGTGTATGCCCGGAATGGCAACAAAATGGACTTTTTTAAGGATCTGGAGGAAAGACTATTTGAAGATTTGGATCAAAAGATTATAATAATGGGTGATATGAATGGTGTAGTTTCAATGGAAATGGATAGACTACGGGTTTTGGGTAAAACAAATGAGGGGACATTGCCAAAAACTTTCTTTACTATGGTTGAGAACTGTAATTTGATTGACATTTGGAGGTTGAGACACCCATTAGAAAAACAATTTACTTTCCACTCAGAAGCAAATCAATCAATGTCACAAACTGATCAGATATTGTTCTCTTCCAATAACATATCTCTATAGGTCAACCATTTTCCTTTCATATTTAGTTTTTTCAGTGAAAAAGCTTCTTGGGGTGACAGCCACCATGGCGTCTTTCTTTCGAACCACTCTTTATATCCAGACTTCAGATAGTGGTCTTTTTATGATGTGATTTAAAAAGTCCCGATGTACTCTGACCTTGTCATACCAAAGGTATGCGTGCCACCCATATCTGTTTCCGAACCCTTCCAGATCTAATATATCTGTATTTTCCAAACTAAACCACTCTTTTAACCATATTATAGATGCAGCTTCGTAATATATTTTGAGGTCCGGTAGTAAAAAGCCTCCTCTTTCTATTTTGTCCGTTAAAAGTTTGAATTTTATCCTAGGCTTTTTCCCTTGCCATACAAACCTGGATATCACTTTTTGCCACTCATTGAATTGGCCTTGTCCTATTATAATTGGAATGGTTTGAAATAAAAAGAGCATTTTTGGTAGGACATTCATCTTAATAGCTGCTATCCTTCCACAGAAGGATAGCGTCAGTCTGTCCCATATTTCCAATTTCGTTTTTACTTCTTTCATTATTGTTTTATAATTATCCTTGAATAAGTTTGTATTTTTCGGGGAAAGCCAAACACCCAAATATTTTATTTTCTTTACCGTTGTTATTTCTGTTTTGCTTTGTAGTTGGTCTAGTTGTTCCTCATTCATGTTCTTTACCATCATTTTTGTTTTACTTTTATTAATTTTAAATCCTGCCATCGCTCTGAATTCTTCTATTACTTTTAATGCTTCTACTATCGAAGTTTGAGGTTCTTGTAATGTCAGGACTATGTCATCAGTGAAGGCCTTAACTTTGTATTCCTTTTCTCCACATTTTATTCCTGTAATTTCCCCTGTTTCTCTTATGTTTTGAAGTAATACTTCCATTATTGAAATAAATAATAGAGGTGACAATGGGCAACCCTGTCTTGTGCCCTTTGTAATATGGAAGTTCTCTGTCACTCCGTTGTTTATTATAAGTTTTGCATTCTGATCTTTATAAATTGCGTCTATGCTTCTTAAAAACTTTGTTCCCAAACCCATCATTTCTAAATTGTATTTCATAAAAAACCAAGACACGTTATCAAATGCCTTTTCTGCGTCTATGAAGATTAATGCAGCCTGCTTGTTTATTTTTGTTTCCAAATATTCAATTATATTTACTATATTTCTTATGTTGTCTTTTAACTGCTGTCCTGGTAAAAAGCCTGCCTGATCCGAGTGTATGTGTGAAGTCATAATGTTTTTTAATCTCTGCGCTAGTATATTTGCGAACAGTTTATAATCATTATTAAGCAATGATATCGGTCTAAAGTTTTTTACGTTTGTGAGATCAGTTCCTTGTTTTGGTATTAGGGAAATAAATGCTTCTTCCCATGTCTGGGAATCTGCCCTTTTCCCATTATATTATTCATTACTTCCTTTAGTGTGGAGACTAATTGTTGACTTAATTTCTTATAATATTTAAATGGGACCTTCCCATTCTTTCCTTGCTTAATTGCATCTATAATCTCTTCTTCTGATATTGGTTTTTCTAATTGTTCTCTTCTTTCTTGGGAAATTGCCCTCAGTTTGTGTTTTCCTATATAAGTTCTTATCTTCTCCTCATTTTCTTTGGGTGCTTTATATAATTCTTTGTAAAATTTAAGGAACACTTTCCTTATTTCTTTGGGATTGTCTATTATTTCATTATTATAATTTATTGTATTTATAATCTTCTGTCCTTGTTTTTTCTTTAGTTGCCAAGCTAACCACTTCCCTGTTTTGTTTGCTGATTCAAAATTTTGCTGTCTTAGTAGTTTAATTTTCCATTCCACCTCTTGATTTATAATCATAGATAGTTTCATTTGCAACAATTTACTTGTTTGTTTTAGTTTTGGGTCCTCTGGTTTCCTAACCAACTGCTTTTCTATATCATTTATTTTATTTTATATTTCTACTTTATTCTTTCCCCTTTCCCTCTTTTGAATACAGTTCTGTTGCAAGAAGAATCCTCGCATAACTGCTTTGCTTGCATCCCAGACTACATTTATGTCTGTACCTTTATTTAGGTTTATTTCAAAGTAAGTGCTTAAATGTTTTTTAGTTCTTTCTAATATTTCTGTATTGTCTAATAAATT